CTCTATGTTACATGTATTTTAATGTACATGATTCGTCTATATACTTTAATAAAACTGATATAATGAAACAATATTTTGAGTGTGATGACATCAATTCATCTTCTATTCTCTAATTGGACACAAAGATCTAAAAATAAAGAACCAAGTAGAGCCTGCATAGTAATCATATGAAACAACATAATTGAGAGATTTTGAAAAAGTAAAGACTATCAAATTTTAGGTCACTAGTCTAGTGAAATGAAATAAACTCAGTGAAATGAAGTTTATTCCAGGAAGGAAGGAAGGAAGGTTTTTAAAAACAAACAAAAAGTCTTTATCATAGTTTTCAAATCCGAATTACTATAGAAAGTTTTGGTAAAGCATCGTAAGGTAATAACTGTGTGGCAGACAGCTAATAGTTTTACAGTTTAAAATCTCAATAAATACTCTGGTTTTAAGGATGGGTTAAAGTCCTTGACTGTCCTGTCATATCAAGTCCTTCCCATATTTTTAAAAAGCGCAAGACAGATTGATATAGATAATATTCCCACAGACGGCAGCACTTCTAGGACTCTTGGTAATATCTGTTTGGCAATTAACACTTCCTGTTCTCAAAGATCAAAGTCCAAAACCTGCAAGCATCTGAAAAATATTATATAGCAGATACAGCTGCAAAATGAGCATAAAAATTGGGGAGGTGACAGACAGCTTGCTAAGGCCTAGGTGTGCCTCTTGGTAAGCTTGTATTTGCACACCAATGACAAGATCTCTCTTACAGAAAGTTAACTCTCCCTGGTTTGCATAAATCATGTCCATTGACTCAAACATTATGTCATGAAGATATTTAACTTCAACTTGGTCTATTCAAAGAATTTGTGGGCTTAGATGTAGAATTTGACCGTTTCATATTTAATGATTATATTAGTTTGTATTCTCCAGAGAAATACAATCAGTAGGATATATATGGCTATATTAGAGTAGATTTATTATAGGAATTGGCTCATGAGGTTATAGAGACTAAGAAGTCCTGCTATCTGTTGTCAGCAAATTGAAGAACCAGGAAACCTGATGGTATAATTCAGTTTGAGTCCAAAGGCCCAAGAACCAGGAGTTCTGAAGTACAAAGTCAGGGAAAGATGCAGGTGCCACATCAAGAAGGGAGACAGAATTCACCCTTTCTCTTTTGTACTATACTGGCCCTCAATGGATTGGATCATGCCTCCCCACATGGGAGAAGGAAGATCTTTACTCAGTCTACCAAATCAAATGCTAATCTCTCCCAGAGACACCCCACAGGCAAATTCAGAAATAATATTTTAGCAGCTATCTGGGCATCCCTTAGACCAATCAACTTGACACATAAGATTAACTATCATAATGATGCAATAGATTTAAGGATTTTGATGTCTCATGAAATTTTCATCATCATCGCTCTCTCCTTAGTTTGTGGATAGACTGCCACAACAGCTCTGAGCACCTCATGATCACCTTCTGACTTTAGACAGTGACCTTTACACCAACAAACAGAGCCAAGGCAATGCATTCTTTTTGTTAATAGAATAGTTAATAGAACTACATAGTAAAATAAGATATGCATCTGGATATTTCTCTTGTCATAGTTTTATATATTATTTTAATAGATAACCTTTTTGTTTGGAGATTATCAATTTGCAATCCTCTGACTGTGGTAGATTACTTGTCTAATTAGAAAGAATCTTTGTTGTAATTTCGTGTTTACATTGACATTACCTTTTAAACTTTATACAGTAGCCAAGGAAACAATATGATAATGATGCTCAAAATGAATCTTAACATTTTGCTAAATTTAAATTTCCTAACACACATTCGGGCAATGTATACTTTTCAAAAACCATATCATAGTAACATTTTCTGTTCAGAATTACTATGCAGATGTTTTTCTTATCCACTCCTTAAAGAAAAAAAAACATCGTGGAGCAAAAAAAGGCATTCTATTTACTAAGGGTGTGTGTGTGTGTGTGTGTGTGTGTGTGTGTGTGTGTGTGGTGTACTTATTTATTTATTTTAATGTAAGCATTGTGTAATTTCCTTAATGAACATTAGCTTAAGCTTTCAAAAGGCATCATGATTATAAGCAAATTGATAGGAAAGTGTACAACAATGAATTAAGGATTACTGGCAGACTAAGACACTGTTTTATCTCTTTTGAGGTAGACAGAATTCAAATTGCCTTCATTAGCTGAGCAGTATGATGTGGAAAGTGAGCTGGGTACTTATCAAGAGGCTCTGTCATTTGCATTTTTGCTAAACTTTCAAGCTTCTCTGTTTTCTAGATGCTTAAGAGCTCTGAGTAGGACAGAAAGAAAAAATTTCAGGGAAGTAAGCCAGGGGGACTAGATTAAAGAAACAAAAATGTTTATCAGTAAAGATGTCAGAATTGTGCCTGTATATTTGTGATACAAAAAGACAGCCTTACAGAAAAGATCTAGGATGTACAAATGCATTAATTCTCCACACATTCAACAGTACCACAACAAAGCTAGAGGCTTTTCCTTTGATAAATGATCAGTACTTCATATGACATTACCATAACTGCCCTGTTGCTAGTTAAAAGTCTGAATTTCAATTAAGCAGTAAATCTTTATGGTATTACATCTTGAACAGTTAACTTTTCCTTTAATCTCCTACAATTCTGAACACTGTTATTTTGCAGAATCATTTTCTTTATGCTCACTCAAAAGGAAAAATATTCTTATTGGACCAGTAAAGAAATATTTTCATCCAAATGAAACACTAAATATTAAATGATTTTTGTTTAGGTTTTTAGTAAATGTATATGTAAAAAGTTATTATACTTCTACAGTATAGTTTAAAAGGCAATCAAATGTGTTAATACACAGTCTGAGTTAAAAGTCCATCGACTTGATTGTACACATTTAGCTCTTATGTCCCATTTCTGAATTCTTTCCCACATATATATTCCTTGAAAGACTTCTTAAATCACAAATAAACATTAATAATACCTATAATACTCAAATCAGTGGAAAAATTCTCATTTCCTATGTCACTTCAAATGCCCCTATAGATATTTTTAAAACTTAGTTTTTAAAAGTATTGGTTAATATCTAAAAAAGTACAGCTAATAAAGGATTCATTTAAAGGATTTGTGCAGCTTTCTTGATTATTTTAATATTTTAAGAGAAAATATAGGCCATTTAATAGGCATCATCTCCTTCATATAGAATTTTAAAACAATTTTAAATTTATGAGTCCACAAAGCCAAATTAACACAACTTCAAAGCTACACATTTAGAGTATCTTTAACAGTTAGACCCATTATTGGAATAAAATACAATTTTCTCTGTTCAGAAGTTTAGAAGAAAATCTTTCCCTTGGAAGCAAATGTAGTTATGCCTATGTCAGCAAAATTCTACCATTATAAGTGCTACTTTTCTCAATTAGTTAGAATGCAAATATTTTTCCATTATTTAAAACAATTTTAGCAATTGACTTGAAGAAGTCTGAGCTACTTCATTTGAATTCCTGTGTGATATTGATAAAAATAAACACATTTAATTTTAAATGAATTATGTATCAAACAAGTATGGGCCAACTATCATGTTTCAGATATTTTATTATTAGATTCTCAGCTATACAGTAAGTTAAACATGCCTGAATAGAAAGCACTTCTTACAATGTCCCCAGCCCTGCAATACAAGGTAAAGAATGAAATCAAGTATAGAGTATGTTAGAAGGTTCTTGAGCTACTGAACATTTAGCCAGGAATGTACGTCTGTTTGACTCCAAAGTATCTGACTTTCATTCCAGTATAGTGAATCCTCTCAACATAGTTGCCATTAGTCTCCAAACCAGTTCTTAAAAATGAAATCATAATTTTATATTATAGCAAATACACCTATTAATAACAATACAAAAGATCATTTTGTTCAATACTAGATATTTTATTTCCTTTTGGAAAACATGAACAGTTATTTATTATATATTTCTCTTTGAAAATTAATGTTATTTCAAGTTTAACTCAACTAATTCATTCTATCCATAATGTGTTTGAACCCTACATGTTCTAAAAATGCAAGACTATTACACTAGTCCAGCTAAATAAAACTTCTAAGGAACTAACAAAGCTTAATTTGACAGCTGGGCTTAACTCATCAAGGAGGAATTAAGAGTTTTATTAGTTGATTAGTTATCATTAAACAATGCACACTTGCATTTTCAACATTCTACTGCAGTGAAAAAGTAAAATATTTAAGTATTGATTACAAGAATTATGGGAGATGGTGAATTAAGAATCTTATAACTCTAGAATCCTATAATTCTATGAATATTTTTTAAACACAAAATTGTTCCCTAGGAAGAAACACATGCTTCTTATATCAAGTAATGATACTTTTAGCTGTTGAGATTTTAATTTTTACATTTTTGCATATCAGAATAATTATAAGGATTAGAAAACTGATAGATATATTGGAATAGATTTGTAAGAATCTGGTTTCTATAAAGATATCATACAAGAATATGTCAGATTGGGAAACAAAGGAAGTGATGAGACAAAAGAGAAGGAGAAAATTTTTACAGATTAGAAAGGTTATAATGGAAAAAAAAATAAACAGAAAAGATATGGTAGAAGCTACACCACCAATGTCAATCAGGATTAAGTTTCAAGTGGAAACACTGGAATTAAGTGTAAAGAAATAGCATAATTTACTTAATGCATGTCCCATGACTTGACTACTATAGAAACTTTTAAATGACTCTTTATAGAAAACAAAATTCACTTTAAAGCATTTATAGAATACACTGTAAAGTTCTAATCTTTAATCAAAAGCCACATGAAAAATTATTATTGTCTAATGACTTGTACAAATTCTTGTTCTAAAATGTTATAAAAAGCCTCATGTATTATTCGGTAATTTTAAAAACAAATTATTTGTTTACTTTAAGTTTTTAAATTAGTAAATCACTTGGGCATCCAAAAATAAAAATAGAAGTATTTATAATGAAAAAAACTATGCACTTACCATCATGATTAGGATTTCCTAGTGTCCATGGCTCATCTGAGTCAAAATGAGTATCTCCCCCAATTCCTGGTCCAGGGAAATAGGCATGTGCCAAAAACCCTCCCTCTCCATCAAAGGGAGAACTGTCTCCATGAAAGCCAGATGCAAAAATGATGGTTATATCCACATCACGTTTGCCATTTTCTAATTCACTGTAGGGAACTTCTTCAAACGTCAGAGGAGTTACATTCTGCCACACGTCAAAGGCACGACGAATAGCTTTACGGGTTTCAGGGTCTCCTACTTTTGGAGTTACGTTCTTTATACTGAAATTTAGAAAAAAGGATAATCAGTATGGCTTTATTATATATAATCTGACTTATTATAGATTGGTTTATTACATATTTTCCTCTGTTCAGTTGAGTGAAAAATTAGAAAAACGTCTCATATTAAGTAGGAAAGAAATTAATTCCTTCTGTCTCTATAGCTAGATTTCCCTGTGCTGGGTCATTTAATTCTCAGCAATATTATACTCATCTACCAAGGCTATAAATGAGAAGATCTTCTCTGCAGAATGGTTAACACTAGGGTAATTAGATCAATCAGTCACTTTGTCTCCTGAAAACAATAGAAAGGCAGCTTTGCCAAATGATCAAACAGGTGCAGCAGTTTCAAGCTGAAATAAAAAAAATTCAATTTCTGTCTGGTAATAATTACTTTTAGGGGCACACATTTTGTGCACACATGCTGCTTTCAAACAATGTCTTTATGCTCTTATCCATGAACAACAAATCAGTGGACACAAAATTATTTCTCAGTTTTTAAAGAAAATGTCATTTAATTAGAGTCCCTGATATTCGATTGTTTTCTTATATACTTATTTCTAGTCAAAATAAAGCAATGAGAGTGAATAGCTTTTTAATACAAATATTTAACAGTTATATGAATTTAAAGAAGTAACTTGGACATTATTAGCTTATTTGTCTTGAGGTTAATAACAAATGGAAAAAGATATAAGTATTTTTCTCTAGCACTGATCAGATATTTCTCTTTTATCACTTATTTTTCTATTTTTTCTAAATAGAACATAAATGAAACAAATTTATATATATATGTAAGTATTTTATATTGTGGTAGTATAAGTTCATACCATCTTTGTGAAAAGTAATGAGTAAGTTTCATAGGAGTTATAACTAAGTTTCAGACCACTTCAACCAATAATCTTACACCCGTGAATCCATGAATTTCACTAAGGGACTGTCTTAATGCACAGGAGGGTATAATATTCAGGTGAATATTATTATTTTATTATTGCAGTGCATTTTTATTATTGCAGTGCAATAATGAAAGAGAATTGGAGGCTAGATGATATACAAATCATGGTGTCTCTGTTGCATGCCATAATATACACAGGATTTGGAATTTGAAAGAGCAAAATTTGATTTTGCTGTTTTAAGGCTATTTAGCTTTATGTAAAAATATTTAAGATATAATTTCTGGTGCAAAAATAGTATGCAGATTATATTTTTCACACAATTGTAACTATGTCAGGATAATTACAAACACTAGGCAGGAATCATACTGACATAATAATAATGGAATTAACTAATTACTATGAGCAAGGCAAGCATTTCTCAATATCTTATATATCCCCTGAGTAACCCAGTGAGATGGACATGTATACCTATCCTACAAAGCAAGAAGTTGAGATTCAGAGAATTTTAAAGAAAATTTAGAAGGGCAGAGCTAGTTTTTCATCGCAAATATTCTCACTCAAGAATCAGTTATATAATTCTAAGCTAGGCCACACATCTGAAACAAGGTTTTCACTATTTTCTAATACATATCATAGACCAGATTTAAATGACTATTTGATGATAAGTATCATTTACTATACATAAAGAAAATGATGAAGTGAACCAAGTGAAATGGAGTTGGGGCAGGGAGTATTCCAGGAAGAAGAAATGGCAAGTGAAAGGCCCTGAGGTGGAGACATGCTCGGCAAGTTCGAAGAATGGCAAGGTGGCTGGTATAGTTTGAGCAGAGACAGAGGGCAAGTGCCAAGATATGAGGTCAGAAAAGCAACAGAGAATCAAATGAGATAGGGGCTTGTTGACCACTGTAAGGAGTTTGGCTTTTGCTCCAATTGAGAGGAAAATACTGGAGCATCATGAGCAGAAAAGTGACATTTGACTTATGCTTTAAAGAAATGATCGAGCTTTATGTGGAAAATATATTGAAGTGGAGCAGGAGTAGGGAAACCCACTGGGAGCTCTTGCAAATTTTCAGGTGAGAAATGATACTGCTTTGGGCCAGGGGAGTACCAGTGGAGATATTGAGAAATAGTTGGATTTTGGATATATTTTAAAGGTACACCTGCCAAGATGTACTGATGGTTGGACATGAGCTCTGAGGGAAAAGGAAGTCTCAAGGAAGACACCATTATTATTATTTTTTTTTACCTGAGCCAAAGGATGGATAGAGTAAAAGAAGTCATGCCTGCTCAGGGAGAAAGTTATGAAATCTTTTGTTGTTTTAGTGTTTTGTTTGTTTGTTTTAATTTTGTATCCCATTTAGTGTGATGCTTTGAACTCTCTTTTGAAAAAGAGTAAACTGTATTGGGGCATCAGCAACTTTGTTTAGCTTGTTAGTCTCTAAATTACTGGTTTTGTTTTCTTTTGTAAAAAAAAAAATACTTTATTGAAGTATAGTGATTTACAATTTTGTGTTAGTTTCTGGTGTACAACAAGTCAATTCAGATATATATATATATATATATATATATATATATATATATATATATATTAGTCTGTGTTTGCTAATCCCAAACTCCCAATCCATCCCTTCTCCACTCCCCCTTCCCCTTGGCAACCATAGGTCTGTTTGCTAAAGAATTATTTTTTTTTAAAGTTTTTCATATGTATTTTTATTTTAAAATTTATTTTTATTGCAGTATAGTTGTATTACAATGTTGTGCTAGTTTCAGGTGTACAGCAACGTGAATCTGTTATACATATACATATATCCACTCTTTTTTAAGATTTTTTTTTTCACATAGGCCATTACAGAGTGTTCAGTAGAGTTCCCTGTGCTATACAGTAGGTTCTTATAAGTTATCCATTTTATATACAGTAGTGTGTATATGTTAATCCTGATCTCCCAGTTCATCCCTCACCCCCACTTGTACTCTGGTAACCATAAGTATGTTTTCTACATCTGCGACTCTACTTCTGTATTGTAAATAAGTTCATTTGTACTCTTTTTTTTTTAGATTTCACACATAAGCAATATCATATATTTGTCTTTCTCTGTCTGACTTACTTCACTCAGTATGACAATCTCTAGGTCCATCCATGTTGTTGTAAATAGCATTATTTCATTATTTTTTAAGGCTGAGTAATAATCTGTTGTATATATATGTACCATATATTCTTTATCCATTCCTCTGTTGATGGACATTTAGGTTGTTTCCATGTCCTGGCTATTGTAAATAGTGCTGCAAAGAACACTGGGTTGCATGTAACTTTTCGAATTATGTTTTTTCCGCATATATGCCTAGGAGCGGGATTGCTGGATAATATGGTAGCTCTATTTTTAGTTTTTTAAGGAACTTCCATACTGTTCTCCATAGTGGCTGTATCGATTTACATTCCCACCAACAGTGTAAGAGGGTTCCCTTTTCTCCAGCATTTATTGACTGTAGATTTTTTGATGATGGCCAGTCTGACTGGTGTGAAGTGATGACTCATTGTCATTTTGATTTGCATTTCTCTAATAATTAGTGATGCTGAGCGTCTTTTCATGTGCTTTTTGGCCATCTATATATCTTTGGCAAAATGTCTATTTAGATCTTCCACCCAGTTTTTGATTGGGTTTTTTTGTTTTTTTGATATTGAGCTGCATGAGCTGTTCATATATTTTGGAGATTAATCCCTTGTTAGTTGCTTCATTTGCAAATATTTTCTCCCATTTTGAGGGTTGTCTTTTTACTTTGCTTATGCTTTTCTTTTCTATATTACCTATTTGATGGTCGATGCATGCAGATTAATGTTGTAACTTTGAATTTTGTCTAAATTAATTTTCCTTGTAGTCTTTTATTTTCTTTCCACCTTATCGGATTGCAGAAGCTCATCATTAGTGGGCAAGTATTTTTATGACAAGCATTTGAAAGAATGTACTACATAATAGGTACTGCTCTAGGTGCTAGACGTAAAACTGTGAATAAGACTCTGATCTTGTAGAACTTATATATTTTAGTGGTGAGATAAAAAATAAAAAATACAATTATAGATGGTTATAAATGAGGGGTGAGGAGGTGAGATAAGTAGATGATAAATGGGATTTCAATGACAAAAGGAGCCATGCATGTCTAGCACTGAGTTTCCAGCCAGAAGGAATAGTGAGAAGCACAAACAAACTTGGCCAGTTCAGAGAATGGGACTGCTTTGTGAACTGGTGAAAAATGAATGCTTAAAACAGTGGCATGAGATGAAAGAGAATTGGCAGGGAGTGGGTTATGTTCTGTGAAAGGAAACCACTGAAGAGTTTTAAGCAGAGACGTATCCTGGTATTTTTCCAGTTTACAAAGATCACTGCTTCTGACGAAAAATGACTAGGGGGACAAGATTGGAACCAATAAAACACTGTGGAAGTTTGAGCAAGTGAAATTAGAGAAATGTACTAGAGTGGCTGTCATGGAGATATGAAGAATTAGACAAATTCAGTATATGTTCTGAGGATATTGTTAATAGGAATTAGTGTTGGATTCAATATGTAATGGAGAAATCATTTTATATTCAAATAAAGGGTAACCTTACAGCAAAGAAAAATGAAATCATGTTAGTATGATATGTACATAAGTACACAGTGGTTCTGAGAAAAATGAAGTAATATAATATAATAAAGAATAATAAATGTGTAGTACCATTATGACTTGAAAACACATCACTGTGTTTTTCAAAGCTATGTACTGATGAATTTCCAAAATGTGCTTAACTACAATATTTGTGATGTCATTAATTAATATAAGACATAAGTATATTTTCAAATTACAGTTTTCTCCCGATATATGCCCAGGAGTGGGATTGCTGGATCATACAGTAGTTTTATACTTAGTTTTTTAAGGAACCTCCATACTGTTCTCCATAATGGTTGTACCAATTTACATTCCCACTTACTGCACTCCAGTGTTCATTGCAGAACTATTTACAATAGCTAAGACATGGAAGCAACCTAAATGTCCATTGACAGAAGAATTGATAAAGAAGATGTGGTACATGTATACAATGGAATATTACTCAGCCATAAAAAAGAACAAAATAATGTC